ATATATATATATATATATATATATATTATTTTATTTCAAATAATTATTTACTTACCAAATTAACAAAAGTGCAATTATATTACTTTTTAAGATAGGACCGTTACAACTTATATTAAATACTAGATATTAATTACAAAAAACACAAATAAAATGATAGGTGAAACATACTAAAAATAACTTAAAAAATAAGCGGGAAAAGATAGGCAATTACATTAATGTAATAGCCTGCAATTTTATATATATATATATATTTATATAATTCATAAATTAAATGATTCAAATTACTTCTCAAAAGTAAAAAAAAAAAAGGAAAAGAAAAGAACTATATAAATATTGACGAAGATATAAAAAATAATATCAAGATAAAAGTAAAATATGAAAGAATCACCATTTTATAATTCATATAAATTGAAATTATTTATTTTGTCACATTTAGGATAGTCTTGAAAATTCGTGAACAAAAAATAGTAATGCATGCATGGTAATGATAGGAGATGCAACACTAATTTATGTTGGACAACATATGAGATGAGTACCTTCAATCAACCAATATTGGACAATATATATAGAGAAATGGGTACATTTAATCGATATTAATGTTTCTAATCTTTTTCAATCAAATTTTATTTTTGAAATAATCACGACTTTAAAGACATTTTCAAACATTTATTTATTTGTTGTGCCATTTTATCCAAATAAAAATATATATCTAAGTATTATGAAATATTATACTTGATCAGCATCCACGATGCTGAAAATAGTCGAGAATGAAACAATCAAACATAGTTGGTTAGTTTTCAATTAGCAATAAGAAAAACTATAACTACAAATGATAGTTATAACATATTTGACTTATTTTCAAAGAGCATAACGCAAAAATAAGACATTAAAAAACTATATTATGATGACAATGATAATGATCGTTATTTCTAAGCATAATGAGTTATCATTGGATAACAAAATCAAAGACGACATAAATTTCTTTAGCATTTAAAATTTCACAAAAAAAAATAATAATACTGTGGATTTTCAAACCAATATTTTTTTATTTAATTTTATGTCACAGTTTGATAAAAAGTATTAAATCATCATTTCCTTTCTTATCTTAGTCTTAGAAAGACTTATTATTTTTCATTATTTAATACATTTATTATTGATTATTATAAAATAGACAATTTTTTATTAACTAATAGAATGAAAATTATATTATACTATTAAATGTAAATATAATAATAAAAACAATTTTAAGTAAAGAAAAAATGATTAATATTACGTGCGTAGCACGTGCATCTTCCTAGTCCCATAAAAAATACCCAAGCTTAAAACTTTCACACTCCAATCATTGGAGGAGCCTAAGAAAGCAAAAACCTCGGGCTTAATCTGCAATCACCCTAAACCAAAAATGAAACTTTGGAAACAATAAAGGATAAGTTAGTTTGGGCAGAGCACAAGCTCTTGGAAGCCAAAATGGATCATGAAATCATGAGCCCATTGTTATAGGGATAATGCCTGCTCGGCTTTTGGCTGAGCCCGCAACCGAGAAGCCTAGGGTGAGCACAGGCTTCTGGATGAAAAAGCCCGAGTATTTTATCTGTTAATACTTAATATAGAATGTTATCCTTGCAGTTAAATATTTTCTTTCACATTTTTTCTAGTGGAAAACCCCAATACACTTCTCTTCAATATGCGTTAACTCATGTTTATGACTTAGTGTAAGATGTCTACAGTTTGACTGAGATACAAATAATTCCAATCTAAATTTAATATTTCAACTTCTTCAGGTTCTAGAGACCCAGTATGTACACACTGGATAAATGGAGAGATGTTTCCTTAAAACAAAGATCAATTGGCATAACTAAGTAATAAAAGATTGGGTTTCCTTCAGCAAATGATCCATTCATAAGTCTTGTAATAGTTAACCATTGTATTATCTGTCGACAATATACAATATGTCGAGTTGATTTGAACAAACAGTACCTCGACAATCCACAGCTGTCATGTAATCATCTCCAAAATTCTGTTGTGATGTGTAAGTCTCATGCAATCACTCATGAATTCACTGGTATCATAACCTTTCTTTCAACTTCTGATAAATTAACTTGTGTCCTTGCAGAAGGATCCTTTCCTGGAAAGAATGCATCACATGAATATTCCTGACAAACCACATGTTGATAAATGACGAGGTGCTGCAACATTTTCCTCAGTGTAATGAAGCAGCATTAATTGAAAATTTCAGTTTGTTTAAAAAGAATAAAAACGATTAAAAAATATAAAAGAGGTAGCAGATAGAACTAAACAGATCGAAAAATCAAATAAATGGGATATGTGCAGTGCAGAAAAAATACAAAAACGTGTTAAACAGTCTGACAATAAGTGCTCCATCAAACGAAACATAAATTCAACCTTTTTGTTTAATTGCCAATTTTTAGGGTTGCAATTTAAGTTCTTGAAATCTCTAAGGTAGGTTTGTTAGTTTTCTAGGGAAAAACTTACAAGTTTTTAGTCATTTCAGTTTTGTTTAATGCTTCAACTATTTTTTTTTTTTTTTTCTGGAACGATAGAGATTCTTATAAAACGCACAACGTGCGAAAAGAAAACCAGCCGATACAACCAACGGCTGAATAACTGGGAGGTAGACCCGGAGGTCACCTAAAGTCGGTCCTAGCAACACTATAAATACCACAAAAACACTACACAACAAAACACAAACTTAAGGATCCCAACAGGATAATACTCGAGTGAGAAACAATCCCATAAGGATAATAAAGCACTCACTCGGGGGAAAATAGAGGCTGAAAGCCCAAACCAAAAACACAGTACTAGCCAATAGCCACAACTAAACAAACTAAACAAAAAACTACACAAGACAATACAAAAACCAAAGTGAAAGCCCTTCCCAAATCGGAAGACCACACCATGCACAACAATGGCAGAGTTACGGCCCACGAGCCCGACCCAGAAATTGCAAGCGAACGCCTAACTGTGTCGAGGACTGTCTGGCCAACCCTCGTTCGAACAACTCCACTGACACCCGGAGACCAAAACGCCCAACCAAAACAGTCAACAACAGTTTTCCGAGCCTCGGGATAATTAGCCCAGCCCTTCAAGCGCCAACCAGCACCCAGAACCAGATTGGTATTTAAAAATTATTTTTATATCAGATTGGTATGTCTCATGTAGCAAAAAGTGCAAAAGGTAAGTGGAGGTGTGCATTTGTGTGTACTAGTAAAGTGCACGTGCATCGCGCGTGGTGGTGAATGTTCTTGGCTGATTAAGTTTCGTAAAATTAATTAATTAATTTATTAAACATAGCATTGCATGAATGAAATAAAATGTAAAAAAAATGAGCTCTTATTGTATTTTTTTTGAAAAAAAAAAATAACATAATGATGTCCTAGAATAAAGTAATATATTTACAACCCCACAAAAATATATGAAAATTGAGTTCTTAGTGAAAAAGAAAAAAAAATCACTAAATAACTAAATAGGGGTGCGAGATACATTATAGATGCATTAAGAGTGACTTTCTCATTTTGATTTTGACATTCTCATAAAATACATGCATATAGGTTGGAGCCCAATACAGGAATAATATTTCAAAATTCTTCTTAATTCATTTCGCAAAATGTTTACTTTATTCAAACACTTAGAAATATTATGAGTCTCTGACCAAACATATAGTCAAACTTCAATGATTGTATGATCTTTATAAGGTTTTTCTACTAACAGCTCATGAATATCTATGCGAAATAACCAACTGTGTCAATTTTGTATTTTTTTTATCATTGTGTCTCTACAAACTGGTACCTACCCCATTGAGGCATCGCCCCATGGGATGAGAACGAATTTCATTTCCAAATAAAAGTTGGATTTCCAAAATCTTGGTTACACTTACTTCTCCAGATGCGTTGAATTATTTTTTGAAATGATAAAGTACGTATTTTTACAGTAATTGCACATATGTTCAAGCACATAATGAGATTACTAATTTTTCAATAAAAAAGTGACAACTTCATTCAAAAATATTTTGATCAGTCTAACATTCCCTTTGCAAGTTCATTTATTTGGAAGATAGAAGAACTACATAATTTAACGTTTGCAAATCATTGATCTTGTTCAAATAATAATAGAGTTGTTTATATAATATCTTTCTCATTCGTTCGAATTTTCAATATTTATGTGCCTAACAACTTATTTATGTTTTTATTTTCCAACTCTTCACATCATATATAATGTTTAAAATTCAAGATAAATATCATTATTCAAAATGACAAAACAAACAAAACAAAACATTTAGACAATATTGAGAAACAAATATAATGATACTTTTAGTCATTTGTGAAATTTATTATTATGCAGTCATTGTTAAAATCTACATTATGTATTACAAAGTTTATTATTTTTAAATTATTTAAAATTCAAAATTGATAATACATGATCATTATTTTTAAATTATTTATGAGAATCAATTTCTTCCATACTTCATATATTTAAACACTAGCAACAAAAAAATAGTAATTAAATGACTCTTGTTTCAAGATATTGCAATTCATACTTCTCTAAGAAAATTGAGACTTTTTTATCTTACCAATTTCATTGCTATTTTTTTATTTGTTTCTCATTATATTCATAGTATTTTATTTGTTGAAAGAACTATAGCACATTTACATGTATTACGCCATTTGTTTGTAGGTGTTTTATATAATGACGTTGTCAAAATATCTTATTATTTAGCCACAACTAATATAATCGCATAAGATAAAATATTGTTAATATTACTTATTTATTGATAATAATAATAATAATATATTTGATAAAAATGTACTTTTAGACCGTTTATAAGATTAAAAAATTTAGGATTTTTGCTTGAAACTAGATCATTTTCATATTCACAAAAAGTATATGTTACAACAATTATGGTGTTCCCTTTCAATCAGTAACTCAATAATAGTTTAACATACAATATATTTATTTATTCTTTTTAATTTACATAGTTAATGTTGGTAATGATTGTACGTTTACATCCATTTTGTATTTTTTCCTCATAATGAATATTTCAAATCTATATAAGAAAAATATACCACAAGTTTATCATATGTTATTTAATACTTAATAAAATTAATTTACCATGGATTTATAATTTATTTTATATAATACAATTAGGTCTGTTTATTATTATAAATTTGTATTGATACATATATATATATTATTTTATATTGATAGTAACAATTATTCTATTTTTATTTTATTATATTGGTCAAATTAAACATCATTGGAAAGAAATGAAATGATGTGATATATTACAAATAAAAAGAGTAACAAATAAAGCAATAATAATTAAAAACCCTTTCTCGAAAAACTCCGAATCTCAATAAGAGTTGAAGATCGAATCTTGTTACCTTACTTCGAAATCCGCAATTCATAACAGAAAGACGATCATGAGATATTTTAGTTAATTGTTGAATGAAAAAGTTCAAATATTTCAAATGTTAATAATACATATATTGCTCACCTTGGTATTAGCCACCTAATGATCAGGTGAAGAATTGTTAATTTTATTGGCTTTGGGACTAAAATTTGAAAAAGTAAACAAGACTAATGTAGTTAAATGAATTGTTTCACTTTTCTAGTTTACTAGAATTTGTATATATTTCACGTATGCATGATTAAAATTGAAGATATCTTCTTTCTTAATTAAAGTTGTGTATGTATCTTTGAAATTATTATATATAGTTACTCCTAAGTTGTCATTTTTTACCAAGATTTATCGTTTTGTTAAAATTGTAGATGGATAAATGAATATTTGACAATCTTTGAATTTTTTATAAGTATTTATTATTGCTATTTTTGTTGGATCATTTTTCTTTAAAGAACTCTTATATATTAAATATTAAACGCAATTACGAATTTACCATTAAAATTATATTAAAAATAAGGACGTTTTTCAAAGCAACAATTCTATTTCAAAGCCTTGTTGTTTGGGTTGATATTAGGTTGATTTTTGGAAGATATGGAAGAAAATAGTTCGAAAGATATGTGAAAGAAAGCAAATTCGTGAGGAATAATGATGCGAGAATATTGTGGTTGATTTTTAGGAGATGTTAAATTTTTCTTCGTCATTTGTATTTAATTAGTTAAATATTAGTCATTAATTGAAAATATAAGATAAGATGAGCATTAATGTACCACTAATTGCCATTACAAATATGTCAAGGGTATTTTAGGTAGTTCATTTTTTTAAGTGTATTTGGGTATAATTAAATAAATAATAATTATTAGTTAAAAATATAAAATAGGATGAGTATCAGTGTATTACTAATTTTTCATTAAAAATATGTCAAAGTAAGAGTTTTTTAGCTAAGGTGTTTTAGGTAGTTCATTTTTTTACAAAACCGCTGGTCTTTTAGAATAGTATAGATATAGATATACATATGAAGCCCAACTATTTTTCTTTTGTGGTTGGTCAAAGCCATGATCTAAGGTCATCATATGGTCATCCTATTTTGTCATAATTATCGAGCAACACAAATGGAATTTGACCACGACAAGAAAGATCTACCGTCATCTTTTTCGTATTTTCTTCTGCTACGCCACAGAAGCCGAATTGGCGTGCCTGTAAACCCAGCACTTGATCTCAGTTGCTTCTCCATGTATCTCCGGTATGTTTCAGGGAAAAGCTTAGAATCATTCACAAAGAACACGAACGTGGGTGGTCTGATAGCCGCCTGTCACGAATTGAAAACAAAAGAAGGAAAATCTTTCGTTAGGCAGCTAGATGAAGTACTGTGATAATTGTGTATGAAACAAAATAGTCCAAAATTGAAATTAAAGGGATTAAATGGCTTTAGTGGGAAATACATTTTTAAGAATTCATTCAATATCAGATAAGTGATTGATAGAAAAACACAACAATATGATCATGCACATATTTATCACACAACACTAGAGGCATCCGCATCCGACGCCATTCATTTAATCTTCAATTATAATCTCTTTCATCCACATCATTCCACTAATATCTCTCCATTTAAACACTCTTTCACATTTACTGAATTATTTAAATGCATTGTAGGAACCACTTTCTCCCTTTTGGGACTCATTTTTCTACCTTTAAGTGAATGACCAAATTCATGTTAATGCCCATGTATCCATTTAAATGCTACTTCAAATGAATAGATGTGGATGCTCTAATAAAACGGAAACTGTTTAAGAAGCTACTTTATAAGCAATATTACCCATCTGACAACAGTACCTGGGTACAATAATAAACACGGCCTCTTTTTCCGCCTCTAGTTCTTGGAGGTGATTTGAATGCAACAGCTTCTCGTAGAACTTGGTTCAGTGTCGCTGTTGATAACCTCCTGGATCTCTCCTTTTCAACCATACCAGCAGCCACAGTGATCCTACAATATCATAAACCTTAAAACGCATATAATATATACATGTGTGTGTGTGTGAAGAAAGCATAACTAAACATGAATTTCACACCAGTAAAATCCCACTTGTGCTAGACTTAATAATATCAAGGTAAAGCAAATAATGGCATCAACAAAAATGGATATAACTTTTCTGTGAAAAAGATAAAACAATCCGAAACCAAGTCCATAAACTTAATATGAGATCTTGCATGAACAGAAATGTACTTCTCAACGTTATGCCCTTTGATTGCAGTTGAGTACACAATAGGTGCCCAGTTTAGAATTCGGAGCTTTCTTCTAACGTCGTCCTCATAGTGCATAGTAGTTTGCTGGTTTTTATTCGGGATAGTGTCCCATTTGTTCACAACAATCAGGCAACCCTTCCCTTCTTTTTCTATCCGTTCAGCAATCTTGAAATCCTTGGAAATTTAACAGGCATGACCAGAGAGTTATTAATAATATAAATATGAGTGAACACAAAAAAATATTGAAAGAAAAATGATTATAACTGAATTTTCACTTAAGAAATAAAATAGTTTAAATTAAAATTTTCATATTATGAATAAATGATTGTTTTGTACTTGAGAGTACATTTGATGATCAAATTATTGCGATTAAATAGTTTTTTGTCAAATGTCAACTAATTAACTGGTAATGAGCACAAAATAAATTATTTAAAGTTTATAACACTACAAAACTTAAAATTCCCATTGCATAATTTAGATGAATCATAATATTATATAATTGCCTAAATTAATTATATATACATGAGAGTTAATGATGTAATGAATCTTATTTTTTCAAATTATATTTTTAAATATAAAAACTTAAATTTTATTTTCATATTTTTTAAATGTATTTATAAACATAACTAAAAATTGACGCGTGTTAATGAATCTATAATAATTTGTTTAATTATTTTATTTACATTGTTGTACACCATTCATTTTCTAACATAGACCAAATTTGTCGGTTAAAATACATTTATATGTATTATTATTAATTTTTTATTATGGTCTATTGTTTAATCGTCTTATTAAAAAATGTTTGTCCTATTTTGTTACGTTTTTTTCCTTGTTTATTTGATTTTTGTTTTCCCCGCTTTTTGGTTTTTCTTAGAGTTTTCGGTCCGCATTGTTAGTCTTTATAAGTTTTCCATTTTTCATTTGTGCTTCATTGGTTTTGCTTTTCTTCACATGTTTTCTTTGTTTTTAGTTGTAGGGAGCGGGTGACTCCAGTCGAGCTTTGAACATCTTACCCCGAGATATTGTCCCAAGAATTTCAGCCCATGACGTACCCAGAGACCCCACGAAACGGAGGATGATGCTCACAACATTCCAGGACCCACGACTTTTGGCCCTCCGCGACCCGAGGGCATTACACAGTCCCGAACTCCGGGACTCCCAGACCTGCCCAGGACCCGCGACCGACTGACATGCACGACCCGCGGGTCGTCGCGATTAGATTTTAAAATTTGAGTTTTGAACTGGATTTCGTTGGCTAATTTATGAGGATTGGTGTCCAACCCTAAAACAAACACTTTCGGTTCGTGTTTCTCATTTTTTTCTTCCCTTTAAAAAAAATCTTTAGCAAGCTTTAATTTTGGTATTGGAGAGTGACTCCAAGAATCAATTGTGGATTTCGTTAGCTTGTAATCATCTATTAACTCTCGACTTCATTTGAATCTTAATCGACTTCATTTGAATCGTAAGCTTTCAGTATGTTGTTTATGAATTTGACGTCTTTGATTAATATGATTTCTTGTGTGTCATATTGATATGAGTAACTAAATTCATTCGCTAGGGATGATTGTGATGATTCGTGTGTTTATCGTCCTATTGTGACTCGTTCAATCTGTGTAAGTTTTGTTATACTTAGGGTTAGATGTTTGATCACCTTATAATCGAATTAAACAACTTTTAGAATCGAAAGGGGAGGACTTGTTCGGTCAGGGCTCGCATAGAATAGGCTTGTTTGTAACTGTATTACCTATGTGTTTTTTTGGTTCGATTGATTTTATATTTATCCTCTTATTACGCAAAGTTATTGAGTTTGAATCTCTAGACGTGTAGGTTAATAGAATCATTTAACCCTATGTGTTTTTTTGGTTTGATTGATTTTATGTTTATCCTCTTATTAGATTAAGAAAAGTTATTGAGTTTGAATCTCTAGACGTTTAGGTTCATAGAATCATTTAACCGAACGATCAATTGTTTTATATTTACGTTTGGAATTAAGAATGTTATCCTCGACTCCCTAGCTTCTTCATCGTTACCTAAATCTTGTTGAAAGCTGAAGATTAAGTAATTGCTTTATTTTGAATCTTTAGTTAATCAAAAACACAAACCAAATTTTCTTCTTTAGCTAGTCAATCGGCCAGATCCTTCTTGTGGAAGGATTGTCTGTCGTCTTATTTTTTTTTCTCCTTTTTTCTATTGAACAGTTGATGAATTCAAGTAAAAAAAAAAAACGCAAATTGCATTAGTGTTTAGGAATTTATTTCTTTTTTTTGTGTGTGAATAACGTGCAAAATAATCTGACTAGCCTTCCTTGCGATACGACTTGAGAATCTTTCGATTCAAATCCGTAAAAGTAACTACAACAAAACAAAAAAATTGATTATATAGTAGTAGATTAATTATTGTACCAATGAATTTTTTTTAATGCCCAAATCAATCAATTAATCAACAAGCCAACAAGCCGTTAAAATCCCACTAAGTGGGGTCGGCTACATAGATCACATGTTGGCATCGTGGTCCATCAAAACATATATAACTCTATAAGGAATAACTTTAGCAAAATAAGTAGAAAAATAATTCTACAAAATTTGTAAGAATTACTTTAGAAATTATATTTACTATTTTGAAGAATAAAAATGTTTTCCGGAAAACAAAAATTAATTCTTTACAACAATGGTTGAGACAAAAAGATAATTCTTTTGTACTACAACAACAACCAAACCAAAATGGCAGTTGGGCAAATATTATATGACATGTTATTTGCTTAATGAATAATTTATATAAATCTAAAGATTGTATGAGATTGCCCTTGACTCTTACAAAAATTTAAATTATCCTCTTTTCTATTCATATAAATCTTTGATACTATTAAAATTCTCAAGACTCCAAGTTTCACACATGTACTCACTTTTTCTCTCGTAGGGAGAGCTTTGTGCATAGAGTGAGTGGGTTCTGGTGTTTCTATTAATTAATATATTAAAAAATCCTCTTTTTATGAGAGTTTGTAAATAGCATGTCTTTTGTATTTCTGTTAGTTATATTAAATTAAATTCTTTTATATCGGAATGTTTAAGTGTGATTACAATTTTGCCATTACAAAAATCATTCTTCCTTTTATAATTTATAATAATTGTATAGATGATAACTCAATCTCTAAAAGATCAAATAAATAGCAAAATGTAAAGGCCAATACCTGTTCTGTGATGCAGGCCATGGCCTCGATAACAAGGGCCACAACATCAGAGCGACGAACGGCACGAA